GTTTATTATTAGCAATGTTCTTCCGACGTCTGATTTCTTTTTAAAAAATGCGTTTCTAAAGTGCATAAACTTTTGGGATTGACTATATAGCCAATACATCCTTAATTTCGCTCTTTACATTTTCCTATTATTCTACATTTTTTTTCATAGTTTCCATTTCATCTCTTTCTTCGACGCCATCAACCAGTCTCGATCGTCGAATTTCTTCTCCATTTACTTTTGAGCCAGGGTCGTTTCATCCCTTATCTTTCATCGCTTGCCGATTCAGTTTTTCATGCGTATACGCTCCTTATCCGGCGGACCCTTCTATCTCGCACAATACATTCGAACCGGCGAGCGAGGTCGGGGTTCAAGGCTGACTCTTTCAACGCGTGTGTCGCAATCTTTTCGGTACTGGCCGACTTCTTACAGAGCTGGTTACCACGTTCTTTGTTCACCGTTGTGTAAAGAAGCGAACGCGGTGCGAAAGGATTTCGGGATTTACGGCTAGGAAAGTGGGTTAAGTGAAATTTTCATTCTCGAAATCCCCTTCCTTGTAAAAAAAATCGTTTCTTATCTCCTGAGCGAATTTCGTGAGAAAATATTTAGGCCCTTTTTCTAAAGACCAAAAACCGAATTCGCTGCTGTGACTATTTAATGATCGGAATTGTTGATTTCGATGCGTAACCCATATGTATGTTCCGCGTGAAGAATCGAGCAAAGGCAGTCCCTTTATTAATAGCCGCATCGATCCTCGTCGATCAACACTGTATACGAAGTCGACTGGCAGAAATCGTGTTTACGTCATGATTGACGTAAACCTGCACAGATTCGCTTTATATCCCTTGAACGGTAACTCGAAATGCTTGGAATTCCTCCGGAACGCATCGTCTAGATTATGATTCCGTGCCCTTTGCCAGCCAGCTGACCGTCGGATTCCTGTGGCCTACTTTGAGAACGAAAGATTAGAAGATGACGTAAGACCGTTCGGTACTCAAAAATTCAATTAGAATTTGGCTCGAGAGATAGCTAGTAGTACGAGTCAATCATATATTCTCCGCCACGTGACGAATCGTACGACCAATCGTCAACAGCATTAATAATGTAAAATAATTAAAAAGCATCTTCCTATCTCATCTCTACGAAACGTCTCGTTGAATTATACGTTTTACAAAAAGTTCTAAGTCTCATGAACAGAGCGGGGTGCCTCTTGGTAGAGGATAGTTTATAGGTTTAGCAATTTTCCGGGAACCGAGCAGGTTTTTCCGAAGGTTAGTATATCAGTTATGTCGTAACGTGTTCGTAAGTGGCACTAGAGAGCACATGTGTTCTTCGGAAGCGTACATCTTCCAAGTTTCGGTGCTTTCGAGCGTGGCAAGTTGGCGCGGACTTTCAAGTGGCTTGGCCGGCTCCTTAATATTTAAATAGAGCTAATATCCTTCCTCCGGGAATGTTTAGAGAACTATGTCGAGGACGTGCATAGTTCGCCAGCGATGTACCGAAAGCGCATTAAAGCCACCTTTACAAACTCGTAGAACTTTAGGAGACCGTTTTTCTTTTACAGAATTCTCATTGAGACGGCCGGCGAAAACGAAGAGGACGAGAGGTAACGCTTAGAGACATGGAACTGGCCGGTACGATGACCTCGAAACAATCAGAGAAACTCGCGATTTATCGAGTCGTGCGCGCGTCTCGGGACCAGAGCGACGATAATTCGAAGTGAAACGATGTTAATTACGGCGTTGGACAGGCGTGTGATCGGTGGCGCGGCAGCGGGTCGCCTAACGAGCGCGAAAAAACCGAGTCGACCGAGAAACGGTCCCTGCTAATTGGATATACCTACCGATACAGAGATTGACGTCCCTTCGGAATAATCGCCGGTTAGCTCGTTAACTCTCCTCCGTATTGAGTCGGCGGAAACACCGCGAGATCATCCGGACCATTATCGATCATCGAAATGAAGCTGGGGGACAACGTGACTATGGAAGGTAACTGGCTTTCATTATTGGTAGAACCATTGTATGAAATGCATGCTGAAAAAGAATTCCTTTCACCATTTAGAGATGTGCATGAAATCCGCGGTTTCAATTTATCTGTTTCGACGTACAGTTTCTCGGTCTGTATAAAATTGCGTGAGGTCTTAATTGTACCGATGTTATTGATTGCGGGAAAGGCGGTAGCCAGGTTTTCTCGTCGGTAAACACCGTCGTTTGCCTCATCAGGCTTCGTTGACATATATGTATACCTATACTCCTTCCCCGCGCTCGTTATCCAAATATTCAGGCACCGAACTGTGATGAGGCAAACTTCGCCTGTTTGTAGGAGACGTTGCGTTGGCAAGAACATTCGGTACGTGACTATCGTACGGAAAATTGGCCGAGAAGGTTTTCGTCTTCGGTACGAAATATTTATCTCGCATCGATCTCTTTGCATGTGCATTATTTAAGGAAGTAGATAGGTCACGAACATGGAAATGGCGGAAGCAGTAACATTCGATTAATTAATATCGTTTAATCGTCTTGCCGGGGAGCGATACCGATTGGATTACCAATAATCAATAACGTCGTTTCATTACGCTCCCAGCATGTGCATATTCGTGAGCCAACGCGATGCGGATCCAACCGGTCGCAGTTGATTATTTACTGATAATTCAGCGAATCGAATCGAGTGACGAATTCCTGCTAACATTGAAATAGCGTACAACCCTGTGCATATTATTCTAAATTAAACCCTATTCAAAACGGGATTTAATTGAAATCAAAATTAATCACAGTCTCGTCCCTCGGATATCCATTTTGCTTCACGGACAATTTATAATGGACAGTAAAATGTAGAAATCACGTAAAGCGATCCAGTTGCTTTCTCAATCGTCTGACCCACGGCACGAAGCGATCCGTCGGAATTTCATTAAACGCGGCCGCGTAAATCGTGCATTCGCTGATATAATCGACGTGAATAGGCGGTGTTTACATGCCTTAGACGAGTTTATCGCGGCGCCTGGATCGATTCCAGGCTGTGATCGACAACCGAACCCATTAATCAGTGTAAACTCGATTAAGAGTCACGAAACGGCCCCCTCTCGAACCTCTTGCACTTTCCCTCTCTCTCTGCCTCACTCTGCGCTCAGGGATTAAGACCGAGAGACAGAATCGATTAAATTGAATCTCGTGAATATTTTTTCCTCGAAATTTATTTGACATTCCGATCGATCCAAGAATTTCTTTAATCGAGAAGTACGCGAGGTGTTCGATTGCAATTCTCAGATACCAGGAAACAGTTTTTTATAACTGAGGAAAAAGGAATTGGATGGAAACGAGGTTGTCAAGAAGCTCAATCGATAAACCGCACTCGTTTATCTCTTCGCCGTAAAATTCCAAGAGGAAAAGCATTCTAGTTGCAGTTAATTAACATTCGAGTCGATTAAAATTGAATCCTCATTAGATATTATTATAGAGGTGAACAAATAACGGGCCGGACAAGAGTCGGGATAGAATTATCAGCGAATATATCGTACGTATGCATTTCGCTCGCGGATTTTTGTGCAAATCGAGCATGTGCGCGAGTGCACACGTGCACACACAATACACATCACCTTGACACATTTCCGGAATTAAAGGGACGCGAGCACGCCGGCTCGTTTATCATCCACGCTATCCGATAAAATATTTTCATCATTATCTGAAAACGAAACGCGTTTCGAGATCCCTTTTCAAATCTCGTGCTACCAATATCCTTTCGATGTCGACTGTACTCCAGCCATTTCAATACCAAAAATAAAATAAGTAACTCGACGTTAGCGCTTCGAGAGATGCAGACAGAATTTTTGTATTTACGATGATCTCCATACGTTTTGAACATCGAGCAGTTTGCACGGTAGAAATACATCGCTACAGTGACATTGATGGAATTTCTTGAAGGAAACTAAAGAGGCAGAGCTGTCCACGTGAAGTGGAGCGATCGCAATCTCGACAATTACTTTTCCATCGTCATGCGCGATCGATATCAATGTGTACGTGTACGCTGGAACGATTCCAGCGGAGAGAAGCCCGGCTTCGAGTTAGCCGGGACTGGTTATAGACGGGAAAAGAGGATATGACCGAGATAATGCGGACACGGGTCCGGCTCGAAGCGATTCGTGGTCCCTTGGCGATTTAACAATTGACTTGTGCCTGGCCAGTGCCTAACAGTAATTGGAACTGACCCGAGCTGCTCGTTTCTCCTTCCGATTTCTCTGCTGGAGGAGACTCATCGCTCAATTTCTCGATCCGCTGGTCATCTCTTCACGTTCTCTCGTAGAATAATACAAAAAAATGCATGCAAACATGCATCAATGAGTGCTGGCGTTATCGTTACGACGAATTGGATTTGAGATCAATCTCCTGATGTTCGAAGATGAAAAATACGAGAACGTTTTGAAACGTAAAGGCGAGGCGACGCGATGGAAAGCTCGACGCGCATCGATCCAATCCCCGTAGGGGATTAATTATAGTTTAATTATCGTCTAGCGAGTGCATCGGAGTGCGGTAACGAAATTTCGCGCGACTGGGAACCGTGGCAACAGGTTACCCTTCGGGACGCCAAGGGGTTTCGAACTTCTTTTTAACATGATTAGTTAACGAATCCCGGTGGACAAGTTTGTTCCGGTTCAGAGGATAGTTAAGAACAGAGTTAACAAATCTTTTGCCCGACTCTACCATCATTTTTCATAACTTTTACCATGTTCCAGCATGTTAATGAATCCCGAAGGATAATTTGTTATCAGTTTCATTTTCCTTTTGTTTGTTTTATCATTTTTATCTGAATAAGAGCCGTCGGGCATGATATCGAAGATCTCATTTGCTAACGAGAGGAACGGGAGCTTTCATCGGCGACCTTTCAATTAATTATCGCACGGAATGTGTAATAACGCGGTAACGAAGTTTATCAATGCACGGAAAAGGGGATGGAGCCTGAATTCCATCGTCGAGTACCCAACTAGAGAGATTTAGTTTCTCCGTTTCTCGAGGACTTTCCCGCCCGATAAGATCAAAAGATCAGGCGTGGGAGTAACAGTTCTCAATGAGCCCTCGGGTTCGTTGAACGTTCGACCATGATACGGTTTTCTTTAATCGACATACTTGATCGACGTTTATGATTCAATTACTTCCAATAAATTGACTCGAGGCGACGCGTCGCCTCATGCTTCGATTACTGATCTATCCTCGTCGATTTTTAAAGAAACAAACGCGCGAGCTTGCTTGACACAAGCTTCTCATTTTCAAATTCATAATTCATGAGGAAGAAAATTGGTCTCAATCAATTTCAACTCGTGGAACTCTAGCAGGTTGATTTACAAAGTCCGATTGACTTGGCCGAGATAAGAATTTCAATCGTCGTTCTGAAATACTTGGGAAATCTGAAATAAACTACTGCATACTTTCCAAGTTCTTTCAGAGTTCGGACGTTCGAACAGAGTTCCACGAACATCGAGTAAAACTTCCAAAAATTGTATCGCAGTCTGACACGAGTTGAAGCGGATTAAATTGTTTGATCGCAGAACTAATCTTCGTCCAATTTCCTCTTGAAACGTTAATTTAACTCTGATGATAACGGGAATAAAAATAATACTCGAGTTTCATTTTTTAATTAATTGATAAAAGGAAATTCTGTTATGCAATGTAATTTTTCTTTCGTTTTCCAGCGTACAACCTATGGGGCGATGTTCCTGCACGAAAATGCCGGCCACCGAAGATCGGCGACATCCCAAAGTGAGTACCCAAAAAATGTTGTCAACGACGTATCA